CATGGGAGAGCTTTGTTAGTTGAATTTTGCAAAACCTACTCAAAGACTATCTGTACTAATTTGTAGTGATAGACTAAAGGGGAGGCAGCTAATCAACACCACCCACCGCCAAGTTTTGGGCTATTTATCTACCAACGGATTGACCAAAACATTATACGCCCCAGCAACTGACAGGTGACAGGGTTTGATCCCGCAGGTTGCCATTCGAGCACCTTAACCACTACGAGAAAGCTTGATTATTTTCTGAGAATTTAATGCAATTGTCAACAGATAATGTGCAAACAAATATGATGAAGATGATGTCAAAATTTCTCTAACTTCAAAGAGATACCACTGCGATTATTTTGTGAGCGATTTAAAATAAAATTATCATTTCATTTGAAGCAAACCTTAAAAAAAACAACTGAAAATCATATTTTGAACGTACTTGCTGTTGGACCTTCGGATGGTATATCAGATCGCGATAAGTAGACGTTCAAGAGCTCGTGTACATCCTCTTTCTCTTCTTCCCCTGTATTATTAGCTGGAACTGTTGTCGTGTTTGTCTGTGTCAAGTGGATGGGTGGGGCAGCAGGTTCCGCGGGTGCTGTCCCATTTGATGCTGCCCTCTTTCGGCGTCCCCAGGAGGGAAAAGTACCTGGTCTACCGGGGTCACTACATATGACCTGTCGTAAAATAACAAAATTATCCATATCAGTTACTACTACTACAGTAAGAAAATCTCAACCAGTAGTAACCACGGCTCTTTCTTATGCACCATATTGAATTATAATTAGTGAGTAAACGGACTACACGTCATCAACAACAACTTTGATTAGAAAATTTGTTTAAAAGGAATAAGCGACACCTATCAACAACTTTCATTGGAAGAATTGGGTAAAAGGAATAAGCGACACCTATCAACAACTTTCATTGGAAGAATTGGGTAAAACGTTCAGCGGCTACTGAATATGAGAACCAAAAGATTATACAATGTTTTTCATATAATTTCCACCTACAAAGAGGATTTTATATATAGTTTAGAAAGATCAGTTTGTTTGTTTTGAATTTCGCGCAAAGCTACACGAGGGCTATCTGCGCTAGCCGTCCCTAATTTAGCAGTGTAAGACTAGTCATCACCACCCACCGCCAACTCTTGGGCTACTATTTTACCAACGAATAGTGGGATTGACCGTCACATTATAATGCCCCCATGGCGGAAAGGGCGATCATATTTGGTGTGACGGGGATTCGAACCTGCAGATTGCGAGTCGAGTGCCCTAATCACCTGGCCATGCCGGGCCTAGAAAGATCAGAGTTTTCTCTTCACTGTTCAATTAATAATATTTTTGTGAATTAACTTAATTTTGTTCTGTTTTTTAATCTATAGTGACTTGAAAAACTGTTTTCCTTAGATTTTAGTTCGAGATAATAAAATACGTTGTTGTTTTTTTAATCATTGTTATATAGAATCTTGAATGAGCATCAAAAGTTGGGTTAAATATATAATGTACACAGTAGCTAAACCTATACGATACATTAACAATTTGTGTATTATAATATGCTTAGGCACATGATTTGTGAGAAGTTGGCGGAGTGTGACATCATAACACGCTTCTAGAACTTACTGGTTCACATGGTCCACGACAGGTACGAACTGTTGCCTGAAATACCAATAAAGTGGAGTCGGGGATTTTAAACGCATAAAAGTCTGCTTCGAGAGCGCCATCTGGTGTTCGATGTAACTCAGGAAATACGTAAAGGTCGATAGGACAGCTAAAATGAAATAAACATATATGCATAAAAGTCTAAGAATACTATATATTAACATACAATAAGGCTTAAGGATAATACATAAACATACATTAAGGCTTAAGGATAATACATAAACATATATTAAGGTTTAAGGATAATACATAAACGTACATTAAGGCTTAAGTATAATACATAAACGTACATTAAAGCTTAAGGATAATACATAAACGTACATTAAGGCTTAAAGATAATACATAAACGTACATTAAGGCTTAAGGATAATACATAAACGTACATTAAGGCTTAAGGATAATATATAAACGTACATTAAGGCTTAAGGATAATATATAAACATACATTAAGGCTTAAGGATAATACATAAACATACATTAAGGCTTAAGGATAATAACTAAACATACATTAAGGATAATAAATAAACATACATTAAGGCTTAAGGATAATAAATAAACATACATTAAGGCTTAAGGATAATACATAAACATACATTAAGGCTTAAGGATAATATATAAACATACAATAAGGCTTAAGGATAATACATAAACGTACATTAAGGCTTAAGGATAATATATAAATATTCATAGAATAAGAACCTTACCCTCTAGAGTCAAGTAGGTGTACTTCTCTTCCCGAGTACGGATCTTTGGCGATGACGTTGGTAGCGAAGATGTCACCAGTAAAAAAGTCGTACCGATCTGTCCGAACATCAGCCAAGACAGATAGAAAATTATTTCTGAAGTACACACACTTTTTAAAAACTAACACAAACTTTATGTTGAAGTTTGATAAAATCTTTATTTTTAAATTTATATTATCAGGTTATTTTAAATATTCCATGCCATATTAAACATAAGTTATCAAAATAAACATTCCTTTTATAGCCTATTTCTTATTTTTTCTCACTACCTTGATCAATAAATCTGGAGATATTTAAAACGTTGCATCAAAGACCCAAGTGACGTTATTATTACAATATAATAAAGTGGTTTTAAAGCTTACATTGTCCACGTGTTTCCAGCCTAAAAGTCAACAAGTCGCCCACAGCGATAGTATTTGTTGGAACACCACGATACAGAATTCTCAACACGACACTAGAGGTTAGGATATTCTGAGCTGGCAGGTGCTCGATTTGGGTTGGGTGGCGTCTGAAATTGTTCGAAGTTGTCGGTATAATTAGAACAGCATTTTTAGTTAAGAACTGTAACAATGATTACGTAATTTGAAGCGACATCTCGTTGTCACCGAAGCGATATTTATGACGTTAATATCTATATATGTTACAAAAAACTAAGACTTTTAAATACTCTCCAAGTATTTTATTTAACAAAGAGGGAAAAATTGTTTTTTTTTTGCTATTTTAATATTCGCTTCTATTGAAATTTAATATATCCAAACAGATCACGTTAGGATGTCAAGTGTGAGACAGTAAATTCTACTTTTATTTTGTTTATCATTCCTTCTATCATTTAGTTAAATTTTAGTTATATTAAAACACTAACTTATCTTCTATCTAGACCATGTTCATTTTGAGCTTCTTCTAGCGGTGATCGACGTACAGGTATTAATGTTGTGTACGATTATGTAGATTTATTGTAATAGCTAGTTACACGAGATGTAATCTCGTACTCTAACCACTCGGAAATAAGTTAGTTCACGATATATAGCTAGAAAAAAATTATTTCCCCATATTGAGAGGTGGTTTGACATATTGTTTTATTTTCTGGGAATTGGGTTTTTCTGGTTTACTGATTGTTTTTTTTTGTTGTTGTTGTTGTTGTAAGTGATAAATATTATATTCCGATTGTTCGAAAGTTAGATTTTAAGAATTTCTTCTTTGTTTTAACCTGGCTGTAACAGGATATTGTTTAGTGGCTACAAACACTTAACTACAAATACTAAACGATTAATTAATAAACTAGTTTCATACTTTCATCAGAAATTTACGTACCCAGATGCTCGCGTGTCTAGGAAGCTTGACGTCACTACCGTTTCTCCGCCCCCAGAAAGGTAGCACGTGAGATTGTAGACTTTGTCACGTGATGTCTGCACGTAGTCGTTGAACTGGACTACAACTATATTAGTCATGACATCTCCAAACTAGGTACGAAATAATACAGATGATTACAGCCATACAACTGGAATGTTCCAACATTTAATTAATATACCAGGAGCTACAGAGGAGAAACCCTAACTAGCAAGAGGACTTGTTAAACAGTGAAAGTCAGTATTTAGTGTTGAATCGTGATCTTAAAGTCATTAATAAGTGATATTATGTCAATCAGAAGGATGTATAACACTATTTCAACCCTGTTATATTAGTTGTATTTTGTTACTGACGAAGCTAAGAGTCCGGCTGGACTACAAACCCCAGAGTTTAATAAAAAAGAACTTGTTGTACCCTAAACAACTGACATAAAGTTTGTTTATTACGTTTATTATCAATCTTAACTATTATCAGCTGAGGGGTATGATACCCCCTGTTTTCTTCTACAAACCCCGCAAAAACAAGGTCTTGATATCACAAACTATTCTAGCTTAATGTCGTTTGTTTATGTTTTTAATCTTTGTATTACTATTAGTGTTTCTTTAAAATTCCTAACACTAGAAAAAAACATATTTTTTAAAATTTTAAAATAATAATAACAAAAACCCTAAAAATCCTACTAAAGTATACAATTTTAGGGCTGTACGCACGAGCTAACTGACTGTACTAACTATGTATAGTTTCAGAGCTGTAGACACATGAGATAAACTGAAAATCCCACTACTTTGCACAACTCCAGAGCTGTACAGCGGAGACAGTTTTATGTTACGTTACAGGATATTGTGTTCGATAAAATTCTGTGTTTACAGTAGAACGTTAAAATGTGGTAGAGTAAAATTCTGTGTTTACAGTAGAACGTTAAAACGTGGTAGAGTAAAATTCTGTGTTTACAGTAGAACGTTAAAATGTGTTCGGTAAAATTCTGTGTTTACAGTAGAACGTTAAAATGTGGTAGAGCAAAATTCTGTGTTTACAGTAGAACGTTAAAATGTGGTAGAGTAAAATTCTGTGTTTACAGTAGAACGTTAAAATGTGTTCGGTAAAATTCTGTGTTTACAGTAGAAC